AAACGACAGCAACTTGTCTGTTCCCCTTCCCCCAATTCCCCAGCACTGTTCCCATCCCCCCAATTCCCCAATAAAAATCTTAAAAAAAAAAAAAAAAAGAATTCTTACATTCGAGTTCATACTAATAAAGTTTTAAAAGTTTCTAAAACCAATGATCAATTCCATCAGAGTTCTATTAAGATTGAGGAAAGATTTTATTAAGAGGTAAAACACGAGGGCTGGCCGAGTGGCTCAGTTGGTTAAGAGCTTGCTCAAGAGTTTGAACTCTGAGCAACAGTGGTTCGATGCCCAGCCCGAGCTCAGCTGCCGCTAAGCTGCCAATAGGTAGCAGGATGGCTCAGCTTAAAAAAAAAAGAGGTAAAACACAAAGTTTATGGCCATTTATTGCAATTCAAGCAAATGATACATTGATTTTTTTTTTCAAGTGTATAGTTATTTCACAGGAGTAGTTGGCTCAACCCATTGAACATAATGAAACTAGAACCCAAACAAGGTGTCCCTTTGTCAGCTAATTTTGGAGTGAAGGTTGCATCCATTTTTACTCTAAAATACTACAGTTAGAATATAAATACCTACTTCTTTTTGTTTTTGCTTAAGTATGTCTTCTTCATACTGTTTCTGCATCTCTTCTCGTTCCCGCGCCAGGCGAAGCTCCTCTTCCTGTTCTTCCTTCTTTCTTTGTTCTTCTTCCATCTGCTTCATCCTGCGCTTCTCTTCTACCTGAGCAGTGATGGCTTTCTACTCATAAACAATCACATAAATCATCGTCACAAATTAAAAAATCCACGATGCATTGGTTTGGTATTTCTAAGATAAGTTTATCAGTATACACAAAGCATTACAAATATGAGTAAAGCTAAAATGTCAAAATTTCCATGTATTTCTCCTATCTCCCACTTGTCAAGTTCTATAAGCTTTTTCTTTAACAAGAGGGCACTTAGAAGAAGAGAAAAAACTGAAGAAAAAAGTCTCCGTGCTTAGCATAGTGACTGGTAAGAAACAGATGCTCTACACTCATTAATGTCTGCTCACTTCAGTGATTAAGTGTAACATTATTAACTAAGCCAAATGATTCATGTATCAAAATTTTTAAAGAATTATTCAGACATGTAAGTTCCTTTAGTATTAGACTAAAATTAGCAGAGAATTTTAATCTTAGTCTCCTTTCTTACACTATCTTCTAGATTTCTTAATTGTAATTCTACTTTAATCCCTTATATACTTCCCAAATACCTAATTCTCATCCTGAATAGAATTCAGGAGAACTAAACTATCGAGGAAAATATCCAATACTAACTTAAGATTTAGTGCCATTTCATATACACAACCTATATGTTAAAGACCTTCTCTTCTGGAAGGCGGGTGGCTGTACTATACGATTCTGTCTGGTTCTCAGCATGAGTGTAATTCTAATACAATGCCAGTTGGAGTAAAGATCAGATTTATTGAGGGACTAGACAGGGCCCATGCTGTAAGTTTATACTGGAATTTTAATTTCCATTTAGGTATCTATTGGCCATGAATATTACTTACTAAGGCAAAGAATTAATGCAATACCTGATGTTCTAACTGTTTTTGTCGTCGCCTGTCTCGTTCTTCAATCTGAGCTGGGTCCAAAAGCGCAGTCATAGAACGGAGAAAGCTGGCAAGATAGACATATTAGCTATTTAAAACCCCCCAAATATGGGTTTAACAAGGTGCTACATCGTTTTTGTTTGGGATATATCTATTAATCATTTCTACTTCAAAGAAAAATACTAGACCTAAAACCAATTAAGATATAAATATAATAACAGTCCTAATAAAGCACATAAACTTTTTTAAACATCAATAGATACTGGAGAATGAACTTACTTTGTTTTCTGACTGTTTGCCACAGCCATATCTCCAACAGGTTTTGCTATATGCTCCTCTTCTGAAGGTTCAACCTGGCTTCCAGCTGTAGGCGTGTAAACACTGCTGATATCAGCCAGCTCCTGAGTGTCCGGAGAGACACAGAAGTACTCTGGTTGTTTGTGTGTTGACCGACAGGAGAGTTGAGACCGAGAACCAGGATAGCTCTTTAAAGAATCAAAATGCATTGCCCATCTGTCATGTTCCTCACCCTAATCAGGACAAATAAGAACTGCTAAGAATTTTTCCAATTGTTCTCACATATAAAATCCTAAATGACAATCAAACATGATTTCTAAGCCACCATACAGCAGAATATCATAAAAATTAACAAAACTGTATTCTGTATTGATTCCACATACATTTAGATAACTAGTTTGGAAAATATAAGAAATTCAAAGAACTAGGAAATTTCTAAAAAGTTATAAGAAGCTATGCAAAATCACATTTATTAAATGAATTCAACGAAAGGGTCACAAGAGCAAATATGGAATAACTGGAATACTCTAGTCTTGTCCAATCATTTCAGGGTATTTTTAAGTTTAAAATTAAAAGCTTCAACATTATTTTTTCCCTTTAAATCCATAAAACTTCATAAGCTACCTTTGAAGATATAATTTTTTCATCCATTTTTCTTTGCCGGTCATCTTCTATTTGCTTGTTCAACTCTTCAATCCATTTTCTCTGCTGTGCTTGTTTGACAGCACTGAAAGGGTGCTCTGGCAGTATTGCTTCCTAAATAACAATCATCAATGCCGTCTAAAGTTCAGCTCTCTTGTTCTAGCCACTTTATATTTACAACATTGCCAAAGAATTCACACAGATTTAATGTGGTAAGGCACTTATCTCTAAGAGGAACAATCATTTTAAACAAAAAATTTGAGTACTATACAAGAATTAAGCAGATATATTCTGATTTTCAGAATCATATTTGTAACATATCCTAAAAGAAGTATATAATAAGGATAGAATTAAGCATAAAGAAAATTTTCTAATCAAAAATGGAAAAATTCTTTCCCTAAAACAATTGTAAGATTTTCAAAATTCTATCCTAATATAGTCTCATTTAGACTTTGAAAGGAATTACACTGATAATTTAAAATAGAAGAATATTATTTTACATTTGGCTTCAGAATATAAAAAAAATATTGCCTTTGGGCCTAGACAAAGGAGGACATAAGAGACCAGAGACGTTCTCTATTGAATCATGTCTTTCTAGGATACCCTTCCTCTTTTCCTTTTCTGCTGCTACAGCCCTATCAGAATCTATGACGTACCAATAAGAAAAACATATTGTGTTCAGATTAAGTCTTTGAATTCTAAGAAAAAAAAACAGTATCATAAAAATTTGTTGTTGCTTTAACTTATGAGAGTTTAGTATACTCTAACAAAAAGAAAAGAATGTATTTTACTCAAATTGTCCAGCAATGGAACAGCTAAGCAAAAAGCATTTTGTTATATGAAATAACTGCAGGACATAATTTTTAAAACATTAATAGTTTTATAGAATACAATGTCAATATACCTCAAAATGTTACTTTGTGCCCTCGTTTTTACCAGAAACAATAGCAAAGCTCATAGTTTAGAACAAATTGCTTTGATCAAAGGAAATATTTATACAAAAAGGAAAAATTTTAACATCTTAGGCGCGCCTACATATTTTAAACAGATTAAAAAAACATCATACTGGGCCGGCCGAGTGGCGCGATGGTTAAGAACTGGCTTGGGATGTCAGAGGGCCCCGTTTCGGATCCCACATATGAGGGCCAGTGACACTGCCCTCTACAGCTAAGATGCTGAACAACAGCTCAACCTGGAGCTGGGNCGGCAGCCCCTGTGGCAGTGGGTTGCCATGGGCTACCGTGTGTAGCCAGCAGCCAGCGTGAGCGGCCGTCCAGAAGCCGGTGACTGATCTGCCTCACCCGGGAAGAGCGCAATGATGGTGCCAACTTGGGCCAGTGAAACAATGTCCTCCACAACTAGATTGAAGAACAAAATGACAGCAACTTGTCTTCTCCTTCCCCCAATTCCCCAGCACTGTTCCCATCCCACCAATTCCCCAATAAAAATCTTTATAAAAAAAAATCATATTTATTTAAGCCTAAAAGAACCACTTCAAAAGGAGCATTATCTTCAGGAAATGATTTAACAATTCTTCTATCTTTAGGAATGTTATTTTAGAGGTCAAAATTGAAAACAAAAAAACTCCTTGCAAGAAATTCTCAACAATGGCACTCTATCATCTTAAAATTCTGTAATTTGTTTCTTAAGTCTGATATAACCAGATCTGGTTTCAAATTTTAGTGGTGTTGCAAATTATTCAGCACAAGTCAAAATTACCCTAAAAAAATTCTTAAAATCCTTCACAAAATATTATATATATATATATATATATATATATTTTTTTTTTTTTTTTTACAACCCTGTGGGAAATTTAATACTCAGTTCTCTCAATTCACTCTTCAATTTCTCACTCAAGGATGTCCTCCTATAAAGCCATTACCACTCACTTGCTTGCCATCTGAATAATTCATTTCATTTCTCTGACTAAAAAACCCTTTATTCTTACTTTCTTTTTCACAAGTTTCCCCCAATGTGCATTAAGTTATAGGAATGAAAGTTTAAGTATTTGCGGGGTCGGGAGAGGTGGTAGGTAGAATCGAATCTCTTTTTTGGTTACTGAACTCATTTCATTTATTTTAAGCTGAGTAAGGCAAATATGTGTATAATGCAAGGCACACTGTAACAAATCCATTTTGCCCATGGTCTAGCACTGTGGCAGTGGGCCCTAGACAAAGAAAGGCTTTTCTGGACCATGTGGTCACTAAGGATTCCGCGCAGGGAGCTTCAGACAAAGACATTCCTAGACCGCATGGCCATTAAGACTTCCGTGTTTAATATTCCCAAATTCCTACCTCACCCGGGAGCCAGTCAGGAACTGGCACAATGGCCACATGTCCTAATAATAAATCTTAGCTGCCAACCAGGAAACCTCAGGGTATATAGCCCCGAGTCTCGCCCGGGTCAGGCCTCAGCCTCTGGATGTAAATCCGCTGAGCTGGTGCCGGCATCAAGAAACGTTGCTTCCTGAGCCTTGGTGTCCTGTCTCTCTGTCTGAGTTTCCCGTAACATAATTGGGGGCACGCCCGGGAGGCGGAGGCGGTGATATTTTCCACCTCCCTTGTCCCCGAGGCCCAGCTCCCTTGGACAAAAGGGGACGCGAAATCTACTTGGCGCCAGCAGACCCTTGTCCATCAGTGGGGTCATCTCCCCTACTGGCCATGGGGGACTGACCCAGGAGCACAACAGAACCCAGAAGGCTATGGGAACCAGCTTCGGAGTGCCGCCCGACCAGACAGGTGAGGACCCAGGTCCCTAAGGTAGCCTGTCCATTAGCGGACAGAAGGGGAGACAGATCATCTCCCAGAGTAACCTGAGTACCTCAATTTCTGGGAGGAACCATGACTCCCAGGAACAGAGCGGCGGGCGGAAAATGAATCTGTTTGAGTCTGTGTGAATGAGACGCAGTCTTTCTGCGAAGTGAGTGTGGAGTCCCGATCTGCGGGTCCGTGGTGCACCTTATATGGCTTACGGTGGCATTGCTAAATTGTCTCGAATAGTTTAGTGATCTGAGTCGGGTGATTATACCAACCCACCAATTGCTAAGAGGCGCCTGAAACATCCTCGCTAGAGGAGTGGCCGGAGACAGACAAAGCGAATCTGAGTGATTGTGCGTTGCACCGATTTCAGGTGGTTGCCATGGGTGGGCGACAGAGTACTCAGACTCCATTAGGATGTATGTTAAAAAATTTTAAGAAGGGGTTCTCAGGGGATTATGGCACTGTGATGACCCCCCAAAAGCTCTGTATCTTCTGTGAGATTGACTGGCCATCATTCGGTGTTGAATGGCCAGCAGAGGGAAGCTTAGACAGAGACCTCACTAGGAAAGTCTACCTCGTTGTTACCGGCAGCCCTGGTCACCCCGACCAGTTCCCCTATATCGACTCGTGGGAGGCTATTGTACGTACTCGACCCCCTTGGTTGAGGCCCTCCCTGTTTGGAAAACCAGAGTAGTTCTTGTAGCCCAAGCTATGATCCCCTCCCAGAAGCCACCTAAGGACAAAACAGAAGGGCAAAAGCCGGTCTTGTCTTCAGACCCAGAGGAGATCCCGCCCCCCTATTCGCTTATATACCCACCTCTTCCACAGGCCTCTGAGCTGCCAGCCCAGCCCTCAGTACCGCCCTCACCGGCTCCACCTCCTCTGCCCACCACGCCAGCCCTGCCTCCAGTACCACCCTCGTCAGCCCCACCTTCTCCGCTCACCACCCCCTTCCCAAACCCTCCTGCTACGCCTCAGCCTCCAGTCCTGACACCATACGGGCCCACAGATAAGTGGCTGCAGACAAAGGGCCCTGAGACTGGCGCTCTCCAGCTCCTGCTATGGGAAACCAGAGGCCCCGTCTACTATGATCAGGAAGGCCAGATTCAGGGAGGCCGACACATGTTTGTGTACCAGCCCTTCTCAACCACCGACCTCTTAAATTGGAAAAATCATACCCATCATATACTGAAAAGCCGCAGGCTTTGACTGGCCTCCTTCAGTCAATCATTCAAACACATCGGCCCACCTGGGCTGATTGTCGCCAGCTCCTCCTAACTCTGTTCAACACCGAGGAATGCTGGCGAGTCACCTAGGGAGCTATAAAATGGCTGGAGGAACATGCCCCACCCAGGACCTTAAACATTCAAGTGTATGCCCAGAACCATTTCCCTGAGGAGGACCCCCAGTGGGACCCCAATGACGACCGGGACTTCCAGATGCTGGAACGGTATCAAGAAGCCCTTATATGAGGCCTAAAGGATGGTGGCAAAAAAAAAGCACCAATATAAACAAGATCACTTAGTCCTCCAGGGACATGAGGAGAGCCCAAGTCAATTTTATGAAAGACTCTGTGAGACATTCTGTCTCTACACTCTTTTTGACCCTGAGGCCCTTGAGAATCAGCGGATGGTCAATGCTGCTTTCGTCGGGCAGTCCCAGGGCGACATCCGGCGGAAGCTTCAGAAACTGGACGGATTTGCTGGCATGAATATCAGCCAGTTCCTCAAAGTGGCAACCAAAGTCTATGTCAATCATGACCAGGAGGCTCGTCGAGAGGCAGACTGGAAGATGAAGAAAAAGGTAGCGCAGCTTGCTGCTGCGCTTGTTGAAAGGGCTGTGACCCCAGGACAAAATGCCATCCCAAACCTGGGACTACCCTAGTGAGGGTGACGTCAAGGGGGGCCACACACCAGGAGGCCAAGCCTGGGACATGACCAATGTGCTTACTGCCACCAACATGGCCACTGGAAAAATGAATGTCCTCAGCTGTTGGGGAGGATGCCAACAGGTCCGAGTCCCCAAAGGCGGGGTCAAGTCACGGCCGTTACCAGACGCCCCAAAAGACGCCAGGCCCTTCTGGAGACGACTTCATCAGACTCGCTGGCATGGAAGAATACGGACAAGAGTAGGCCAGACCGGACTCCATCCAGCTAGGCCCCCAGGAGCCTATCCAAATGTTAAATGGGGGCCAACCCATTAACTTTATGGTTGACACAGGCGCTGAACATTCCATCGTGACACAGCCCATAGGCCCCCTCTCCCAAAAACAGGTCACCATCACTGGTGCCACGGGAGGACAGGTCTGTCGGCCCTTTTTGCAGCCTTGACAATGCACCCTTGGAGGCCAAGAAA